TATACTTTTAGGTTTTACTCTAAATTAGAGATCAATATTAAAGTCGATAATTGCTTTGTTGACGACTGAAGCAAAATATATGGTAGCAGATAAGGCCGTGAAGGAGGCTATGTGATTGAGAAATCTTATAAAAGAATTTAGTCTTCAACAAGAAGAAAATTCAGTTGTCTTTTATGATAACCAAAGTGCTATACACTTAACCAAAAATCAAGCACATCATGAGAGGACTAAGCATATTAATATCGGGTATCATTTCATATGTGAAGTAGTTTTTGACAAGAAGATTATAGTAAAAAAAGTTCACACTAAAGACAATCCAACTCGATATGTTAACTAAACTTATTATAGTAAATAAGTTTATGCATTGTTTGGACTCCGAGCGGTTTACCATTTATGAACTTGTAAGTGGTGGCTTTGTTTTGATGGATAACAATTTAGCTTATAAGATGACCGGTCTTAGTACAATTTGTATCGAGTGTCATGATTTGGTTGTGAGGACTTTGACAAAAGTAAGATATGTACTAGATTTGAAGAAAAATCTAATTTATTTAAGCTATCTAGATTTAAGAGGTTATATCAATTCTAGTAAAAGAAGAATTCTTAAGGTCTTTAAAGGTTTTTTGGTTGTGATGAAAGCAACTTAGATTAATCATCTTTATGTGTTACAACGTAGTATAATAATAGGCTCTACAAGGTTGATTGCTTCCTATTTTAAAAAAGAAAGGATTCAATTATGTCATATGCATCTAGGCCACATAAGTGAGAGAGGTATGACTACTCTAGGTAAACGTGGATTGTTTTAGGGTGATTAAATTACATCACTAAATTTACATAAGCATTGTGTCTTAGGAAAGCAAACTAGAGTACAATTCTTTGTTGGCACTCATTCTACAAAAGGCACACTTGATTACATTTACTCAAATTTATTAGGATTAGTCGAGGTTCTATTTAAATGTGATGCACTTTATTTCTTAGGATTTATTAATGATTACTCTCGAAAGGTTTGAGTTTATTTTTCTCAAACATAAGATATGTTTTTGAAATCTTTAAGCAATGAAAATTTCTAATAGAGAATTAAACAAGGAAGAAGGTTAAATGTCTTTGAACGAGATAATGCCTTAGAATTTTATGGTGAGAATTTTAATGAGTCTTATAAACTCTATGGGAGTCTCCAATAACACACGATTAGACACAAACAGAAAAATAGGGTGGTAGAGTGTATGAACATGACTTTGGTGAGAGAACTAGATGTATGCTTTCTAATTTGGGTTTGGAGAAGGATTTATGGGCTGAACTAGTTAACAAGACTTGTTATTTTATCAACCATGCTCCCTCTCCTATTATTGATTGTAAGACTCCCAACAAGGTATAGTCAATTAAACCTACTAATTATTAAAATTTAAAAGTATTTGGATGCCTTACTTATTATCATGTTAAAGATGGTAAACTTAAACCTAGAGTAAAGAAATACATACTTATTAGTTATGTCGATGGGGTGAAAGGCTATCGTTCATGCTCGTCTTAAACTCAATTTGTCTAAATTCATTATTAGTAGAGATATTACTTTTAATGATAAATATATGCTTGATCAAAAAAAGGTTATTTATGAGTCTACAACAAAGAGTGACAAAGTCATGGATAAGGTAGAGCTTTAGGTGGAGTTTAAAAGAGAGACTCTTCAAAAGTCATCCTAAGATGTATGCCTTATAATTACAAACATTCAACAAGATTCGGATATAAATGAAGATGCCATAAAATTTGAACGAGTTCTACTTAATAGCTACCGGCGAGAGAGAAGATAGGCAAGACCTTTCTAGAGATATGCTTATCTTGATCTAGAAGTTTATGCCCTCACCGAAGCCGAGAAACTAGGCATTTAAAAGCCTTTGGTGTTTTGCTCTCGTGTGCACCCAAATTAAACTCCTAAAGTCCTACAACACAAATATAGTAACGGAGAGTAGGGATCAATCCCACGAGGAATTCAATCGCGTTAGTCGTCACAAGTCTAGAAGAACATGAAATAAATAAAAATGAGGGTTTTGATTTGATTGAGATATAACCGAAACTAAACAAATTAAATTCAGAAAATGAGTTTAAAAAAAATATTCAAGTAAATAAACCTTGGTTCGGGTGACATCCAATTTTGGAACTTGAGATTTATCCTTGGTGCACGAAACATCGGATTTCCATTTAAATATTTGTTGTGATTTGAAATCAATATTTTCTTACGATTAGCCAACTAGAAACATGTATTCTAATCAACCCTCATTATTTAACAACTCGGATACGATATAAGATTTAATCAAACCATGGCTTTATGTATTAGAAAGATCAACAAAGCAAGACAACACAACACATGTAGTTGCATTTAATCTAGTTGAAAAATCCTCCTAAGAGTCATTAGTTTCGATGCAACAGAACCATACATTTCTAGTTGCTACACAAATCAAAGGGATTAAACAATTATGGATTTAATATTCAATCTAGCTATAGATTATCTAAGTTAATGAACTAACCGTATACATTAGAAATCATGAAAATAAGCATAGAAGAAAGTTCAATACTTGAAATAAATAAACTGATTTACATTAATGTTTAAGCACTTCAAAATCTTTGATTTCTAAAAGCTTCGATCACCTTCACTAAAGAGAAGGGTTTAGTCGCTCATGGCAACCACCATATCATAGAGAGAGAGATAAAATAAAGTTGCCTCCTATGAGAATAATCAAAAGTTGTTTACCCTAGTCTGCTAGGTTCCTATTTATACAAGGTGTCTATTTCCCAAAAAGGGTGCATAATATTCTCTCCTCTTTAGATAGGTCGGCGTCTTTTTCGGCAAATTGCAGCAAGTTTTGTTTTTTTCTGAAGTCCGTTGTCTATTTCTGTAGATTTCAACGTGCTCGCATCAAGTTGCAACGTGCCCGTGCCTTCATGTCTTTGTGCGTCTATGTCTGCTCGCATCCGCGTGCCCACGCTACTATTCTTAACGTGCCCACACTTCTTATGCTTGTGTGTCCATATTTGCTCGTATTAGCATGCCCACACTACCTTTCATAACGTGCCCATGCTTCTTGTGTTTTCCAGTGGCTGAATTGGTTCCGATCGTAAATTCTCTTTACATGCTTCTTTCGAACCATTTTTCAATCGAGTTCCACACCTAGCACATAGAATACAAAAGACATTTAAAATTTATCATTTAGACATCTTAAAATAGTAAAATGTAGGGAAATTTAGCAATTCAAACACATGTTTTAAGCATTATCAAATCCCCCACACTTAGCTCATCTTGCCCTCAAACATACAAGAATCCGGACTCATCAAACCAACCCTTTGAACCCCTCATTCCGTATCAACCAGTCTTTTCATATATCGAACACAAATCCTCAAAAAGTTGAACCAAATACAAGACAAAAATAAGGCAATTAGTATAGAAACTCCATACTTTCCAAAATCATGCATAACGAACCCCTAACCATCGGTTTAGACTAGAAATGCAACCACCCTTACCAAGAATTCTCTCAAAAGCGCTCATAGTGTTTAGGGTGAATGTATGTGTCACTCTCAAGTCAATGCACGGAAAAATCCTAACCATAAGCTTGCCAAACTATCATATCTCTACTACTAAGTATTGAATCAAACGCAAAAGTCAAAAGGTCTTATGATAGGGTGAAATGGGGTCGTGGGTGAGGTTTGGTGGAGGCTAATTTAGTATAAACAAGTCAAGAATCCTACACAAGTTACAAACTTTAAAATCTGATTTCTCAAGCATTACATACCCACTTTTGTTGTTCCTAAGTTGCTAATCCCAATCTGTTTCCTTTATTATTTCTTTCTTCTTTTTCTTTTCGTTGCTTCTCTTTGTTTCTTTCTTTTCTATTCTTCTTCTTTCTTTTTTTTTTTTTTTTGAAATAAATCAAAGTATAAACATGCACTAGTGAATTACAAGCATCGGGATAGCAACCATTTTTGATAATTTCTTCAACAAAATCAGAATCTAACTTAATTAGACATGAATAAAATTCTTATCTTAGGTTCAAACAGGGGTTATGTATCAAATAAAGAGGTTGATTGGTTTATATTATGGTTATTTAATCAAGAAAAGGCTAAGGCTTAAACTTGGCTCCTAAGGGTAAAAATCGGGGTAGGCTTTTAAGAGGTTTAAAAGTGGCTATTCCTAGGTGCCCTTATCATCTCAATGCATTTAATCCAAAGATGTAGTCTCAAAATGTATATCAAGGCAAGTTCTAGAAGAATTCAACTTACAAAGACAACACACAATCAAGAAATAAATAGAGCTTATATAAATGCATGCTCAAAGGCTCAAAAGCTCACATATATGTGTTTTGTGTGAAATCGACTCATTTCTCACTTAAATCAATTATTAGGGGGTTGTTCTACACAAAGATGTCAAGCAAGAGTGTCCATATGTTCATGCCTATTCCTATCTCATTTTTATCCAACTCAATGATTCAAAAATTCTAGTCCATTTCAAGACAAGTTTTAACGGAACCGAGAATTTCAATGGGGGTTTAACTAGCGAAATTTCAGCAAAATTAAGGGTAGTATGACCATTAGTGAGCAAAACTTTACAAGCAACAAGCATACACAAATACAGAACAAAAATCCTCCCTCATACTTAGGCAACACATTGTCCTCAATGTGGACTCCATTCAACAACAACAACTCAACAACCCAACCGAAATAAAGATAAATTGAGGTGCAACTAGAGGTAAAAGAAAAACAAAATAAATGAAACGAGAAAATGAAAAAGTTAAAGGGAAAGAAAACTTCTCCAAATATGCAAGTAGATCTTGTGCTCGAAACCCAGCCTATCATACCCCTTCTTGCTCGGGTCCTTGTTCTCATGGTGGCAGCAGTAGAAGATGAGTGAGGAGAGGGAGTCACGTGTTAGGTTTTGAGAAATTAGGAATTTTGTTGGGTATTTAAAAGGAGATTAGGGTTAGGGAAATTGATTAAGGAAAAAGGGAGGGTTGTAGCAGATCCGTGGGTGGTGTTCATGGATTAAGGAGAAGATGAAGGCTGCTCGTGGTGTTGATCTAGCTGAAATGGGCGACGGGTTTGTGAAGGAGGAGACCCATTTGGGGTTGAATTTAGGGAAAGAGAATACTCGGTGTGATTTAGGATGTAAGTGATGTTAGGGTGCTGCATTTTGTTTAAGTAAAGGGAAGGGAGTGGAGGTTGAAGTGCTGCGTTTCATTTAAATATAGGTAAAGGATGGTGGTTTGTCCATTCTACCCCCATTTTAAATTATAACTTGTATTGCTATTGGCCCAAATAGTCTTGTTCAACGAGTTTTGTATGGAAAAAACGCCATGTCCACCTTCTCGCGAGTGTCAATTTGACCTATAACCTACACAAAAACTAAAGGAAGGAGAAGAATTCATAAAAACAAATTAAAAACATGCTACAGACTACACGTAAATGTCGCAGAGGTAACCCAGATAGCGTAGGCATGCTAAGTATAACGTGGCCACGCGGACTCCTAAATTCAAACAAAAATAACAAAAACAACTAGAAAGTTTAAATAACTAAAAAAAATATGAACATCAAAAGAGATAAACATGGGTTGCCTCCCAGCAAGTGCTAAGTTTAACGTCGGAAGCTCGACGTGATTATTGTATATGGCTCTACATAAATAGGTTTTGTCAACTCTACCTCATCCACATCCGTAAATGGCACTCTTTCATAGAAGAGCTTCGATCTATGGCCATTCAATTTGAATGATTTTGAAGTTGCTGAGCTTTGGATTTCGACCGCTCCATGTGCGAATACGTTGGTTATGACAAATGGTCCAAGCTAACAAGATCGTAATTTTCCCGAAAACATTTTGAGTTTGGAATGATATAAAAGAACCTTCGACCAATAGAGAACTCATTTCTTGAAATCATCTTGTCATGAAAAACCTTAGTTTTCTCCTTATAGATGTTAGAGTTTTCATAAGCATCATTTCGAATTTCTTCTAACTCTTAGAGTTGTAACATTCTGTGTGCAATGTTTTCATTCCAATTCATGTTGCATCGCTTGATAGCCCGTAATGTTTTATGTTCTATCTCGAGAGGTAGATAACATGGCTTACCGTACACCAACCTATATGGGGACATACCAATGGGTGTTTTATAGGCCGTTCAATATGCCCATAATGCATCATTTAAACACGTACTCCAATCCTTATGATTTGGACTAACAGTCTTCTCAAGGATGGACTTGACTTCTCCGTTTGAAACTTTTGTTTGTCCAATAGTTTGAGAGTGGTACGAAGTGCCGATCTTATGAGTCACACCATACTTTTTCATCAATGCTCCAATGGTTCTGTTGTAAAAGTGAGTGCCTCGATCACCGATCATGGCTCTAGGAATACCAAATCTTCTTATTACCTTATCTCGCACGAGTGTTTCCACGTGTATGGGTCATCCCATACATAGTATTTGGCATCACTCTTAAGTTTATCCTTTTGAGCTTTAGACATACATGCGGGAAGAATGTTAGAGGCCAAATAATTCATAATATTTGCATACCATAGGAGCCATCCACCGACGAGAGAACAATTATTCGTCGAGAAATTCCTCTTTTAACTTTTCCTCTCGTTTTCACATGATTCAAACGACTCAAGTGGTCAGCCACTAGATTCTCTACACCGCTCTTGTCTTTGATTTCTAAGTTGAACTCGCTCGAGAGCAGGATCCATCTCATTAACCATGGTTTTGCATCTTGCTTTGTCATCAAGTATCGAAAGCTCGTATGATCGAATACACCATGAATTTGGTGCCAAGCAAGTAGGAGTGGAACTTCTCCAAAGCAAACACAACTACTATGAGTTCTTTTTCGGTGATGAAGTAGTTCCTATATGCCTCATTCAATGTCATGGATCCATAGTAAATGATATGGAGTGTTCGCCCACTCTTTGGCCTAAAACAGTCCTTAAGGCATTGTCACTTGCATCACACATTATCTCGAAAGGAAGGCTCCAATTTGGTGGTTGGATAATTGGTGCCGAGATGAGCATCTGCTTCAGCTTATCAAAGGCGATCTTACAATCTTCATTGAACTCAAAACTCACTTCTTTCAGCAACGACTTGTATAATGGTTGTGCAATTTTGGAGAAGTCTTTGATGAAACGTCAATAGAAACCTCGCATGGCCAAGAAAAGAACGAATTTTTCGCACACTAGTGGGGTAGGGTAAGGATTCAATAACATCAATTTTTGCCTTATCTACCTCTATCCCTCTAGCTGAAACAAAATGTCCTAATACAATGCCTTGTTCTACCATAAAATGACATTTTTCATAATTGAGAACAAGATTTGTATCAATGCATCTTTGCAACACTAAAGTTAAATTATGCAGATATTCATCAAATAAGTCTTCATGGACCGTAAAGTCATCCATAAAGACCTCTATGATATGCTCTACATAATCCGAAAATATGCTTACCATGCATATTTAGAAGGTCGTCGGTGCATTACATGCTCCAAATGGCATCCATCTATACGCAAAGGGTTCGAAAGGACATGTGAATATGGTTTTCTCTTGATCTTCTAAAGCTATAGAAATCTAAAAATACCTGTAATAACCATCTAGAAAGCGTAGTAGGCACGACCAGCAAGTATTTCAAGCATTTGATCAATGAAGGGTAAATGAAAATGATCCTCGTCGGTTACCGCATTCAATTTTCCGTAATCTATACACACTCGCCATCCATTTTGAATTCCGGTGGGGACCAAGTCTCCATTTTGATTCTTGACTACCGTGATACCGCCTTTTTAGGAACAACTTACATTAGACTCACCCATGCACTATCCGAAATTGGATAAATTACCCTCGTTGGGAGTAGTTTTAGAATTTCTTTCTTCACTACTTCCATCATGGGTGGATTCAATCTCCGTTGTGGTTGACGAATTGGCTTGACTCCCTCTTCTAACAAAATTTGATGCATGCATATAGAGGGACCGATTCCTTTTATATCGCCGATAATCCAACCTATTACTCGTCTTGTGTTGTTTCAAAGCACTTGTACAAGTCTATCCTTTTGTTCCTTTTGAAGCTTGCTTGAAATAATGGCGAGTAGTGTCTCTCCCTCTCCGAGATACACATATTTGAGATGTTCATGGAGGGGTTTTAGCTCCAAAATTAGGGCTTGCAACACGGATGGTCGAAGTTGCTCGGTAGGTACCGAAAGCTCAATATAAGACACGTTGTTGGAGCTTTTTAGCTCCTTAAATTTGTTCATCTCGACTCATGGCCTCCTGTGTTTTAGACTTGACTTACAACTCGATGCTTGCTTCCAAAAGGTGCTCACGATTAACTACTTCCAACTTATCTCTCGCCATCAATTTCGAACACATCCCGTGCTAGAGAATCAATCATATCAACCGAATACAAAGGATAATTAACATCGGGATATTTCATCACATCATAGATATTAAACCTTATGATTTCACCATTAAACTCCATGGTTAAGGTACCATTGTAAACATCAATTTTTGTTCGAGCAATTTTCAAGAAAGGCCTACCTAGCAAAATTGGTGCTCGCATTATCATCATTTTCCATATCAAGGATATAAAAATCAGCGAGAAAAGTCATTTTTGCAATAACTTGCACAAGTACATCCTCAACTACTCCCTTAGGATGAACAATAGACCTATCGACTAATTGAATGACAATATTTATTTCCTCCAAAGGTCCAAGGTTAAGAGTGATGTATATAGAGTATGGCATAATATTGATGGAAGCTCCTAAGTCTAGCATGGCCTTTTTAATGTCACCATCACCTATTGTGTATGGAATACAAAACATACCTAGATCCTTGCATTTCTCAAGAAGGTTTATTTGTATGATTGCTAAAACATTTTCACCTACCTTAATTTTCTCCCCTCTTGTAAGCCTTTGCTTCCTCTTCATTGTACACAATTCTTTTAAGAATTTAGCATAGCGAGGGACTTGCTTGATTGCATCCAACGAGTGGAATGTTCACCATGCAATTTTGAATGTTTCATACAAATCGGTATTGCTTTTAAAATTACGAGTGCAAACTAAAGCATCGGGGAAAGGAGAGGGGACTCTATCTTTTAGTGATGGTGAAGACTTACCTATCGTCTCTTCCTTATTTTGAGAGGCTTGTTTTGTCACCTCTTCTTCTTCTTCAATGTGTTGTTGTATCGGTGCAGCTTGGTACCTTCTTTGGTGGTTCCAACTCTTTTCCACTTCGCAAGACTATCGCACTCGTATTTTCTTTTGGATTTACCACTAGTTGTGAGGGTAGCTTGGTCGAATTTTGAGCTTCAATTCCGCCGACGACATTGGCCAATTGGCCCACTTGATGCTTCAAGTTTTGAATGCTATTATTTGCCTCTTGTTGAAATTTCACAAGTATTAGTAGCTAAGGTTTTGACAATATCTTCAAGAGACATACCCGAATCGAAGTGTGAGCATGTGGTTGCTATCTAGGAGGGTACTCGCTTGAATGGCTAAAAATTATTGGCGGATTGACTCATTGGGGCATTTCCATAGCGAAGGTTGGGGTGATCCCTCCAACCCGAGTTTGTATGTATTGGAAAAAAGATTATAATTTTGCTTGTGGTAGTCCCGGGAATCCTCCCGCGGCATTTGCTTGTTCAAGGCTATCATCTTAAAGAGTTAGATACATGTCCGTTGCATGTCCCATTCGTTGAACAAATTCCACAAGCCTTTGCCGTTTCTATTTTTCCTATCGCCAATTGACGCACAAGAGCGAGTAAAGTCATCAAAACACTTTTCAAGGGAAGAAGTACTTACCTTATTTACTTATCGAGTGGCATAGTCGGATCCGGTACCAAATTGCTCGTGTGTTTGATGTCATATTTGCTATCAAAGTTCTAGCTTCTTCGGGTGTTTTATTAGCTAAAGCACCACCATTCATCGCATCAATCATGTTTCGATCTTATGGTAAAAGTCCTTCATAGAAATATTGGATGAGCGACTAATTTATGATTTGGTGGTGTGGGCGACTTGCACATAGCTTTTTAAAGCGCTCACAATATTATAACGATTCTCCATTTTGTTGCCTAATGCCATAAATTTCTTTTCTTATATTGGTCGCTTTCGAGGTTGGAAAGAATTTTTTCAAGAACAACCTCTTCATCTCATGCCAAGTAGT